GTGGCCAGCAAAGCTGCACCTGGTTTCTTAACCCACAAAAACTGTGACATAATATTTATTGTTTTAAGCTACTAAGTTTTGAGGTAGTTACTCAGCAATAGACACTATTGTTACTCAGCAATAGACACTAATACACAAAATGGGGTAATTTGTTATACAACAGTAGATAACTACACACAAGACCTAGCTCAAATTGCTCCCCTGAATTTTCTTTGACCTAGCCTAGCCCAGAGTAAATTCTGCCTCCTTTGAACTTGATGTAGACCAACTTCTCATTGGTCATTTATACTTTTGAAATATTAGCTACTTTCTATCTTCTGTTTCTGGTCCTTTCCAAATAACCAAAGTCGGTAGCTGCTTAAATTACTTGCTCAGAATAAGTATTTGGCAAGGTAGAGAAGGAGGTTTTAAGAGGGTAGAATTTTGTATCAGAAAGGAGCTTTTGAGGCACCTGGGTGGCTCAGTTGGTTAAGTGACTGACTTTGGCTCAGGTCATGATCTCACCGTTCCTGAGTTTGAGCACCTTGTCAGGTTCTGCTGATAGCTCACAGCCTGGAGCCTGCTTCAGATTCTGTGTCTCCCTCTCTCTCTGCCCCTCACCCGCTCATACTCTGTCTCTCTCTCTCTCTCAAAAATAAACATTTAAAAAAAATTTTTTTAAAGAAAGGAGTTTTATTTCATTTTTTAAATGTTTATTTAGTTTTGGGAGAGCGCAATTGGGGGGAGGGGCATACAGAGCGGGACAGAAGATTCAAAGCAGGCTGTGCACTGACAGGCTGACAGAACAGAGTCTGATGCGGGGCTCGAATTCACAAACCAGGAGATCATGACCTGAGCTGAAGTAGGACACTCAAACAACAGAGTCACTCAGGTGCCCCTATTTCACTTTTGGTGGCTGATAAATGTCTTATAGGTGGAAAGTTGAGGCAGAAATTAGAAAAGGGACCACAGCCAAAAACAAAAAGAAAGAAAGAAAGAAAAAAAAATGAAAGAAAGAAAAGGCACCACAGTTTGGGAAGAACTAATTTTTGGTCTTCATCAAAGTGAGGCATCAGCAGCCCATACTAACAGCCAATTCTCCTTGTAAATTCTTTCTAGTGATTTCCTTCTTATTGTGTGAGGAGCTTAACCTGTTGGCAGTTGTGAGAAGCAACAGAGAGTGGCTCTGGGGCACTGGGGTCACTTCAGAGGAGGGAAGCCAATTGTTTTCTCAGGGCCCCTCTCTCACGTTTATTCTTTCCAGGGCCTCTGTAGAAGGACTGTGCTGAAGACCATTTCCTACACGTAGCACCATTTATTTAAAACATGCACCACATATACACAAAAAAAAACCAAATGCAAAGGAAAAAGGGGGAAAAAGGCTGCTGAAGACCAGAGTCACTAAGAGTTCAGGCTAAGAATAGACAAGAACTCTGAGAGCTGCTTGGCTATGTGACCTCCTGCAGGGGCCTGGCAATAAGCCCAATCCAGCTTTGTTTTTTCTATGTCTTTACAAAGAACGAGCACTAGCTTGGGAGTCAGGAGACCTGAGTTCTAGGCCTGGTTCTGCCAGTACTTTCTTCTGTGAACTTGAGTGAGTACTTCCCCTTTCTAGGCCTCAGTTTCCCATTTGTAAAATGAAAGACACTAGACTGCAAGATTTTCCAATTCCAATACTGAGAGAACACAAAGGAAAACTAAAAGACTTATCGTAGCTTTGTCATTAAGAACCACACCTATCTGTGCCTCTGTTTTCTCATCTATAAAACAAGGTGATATATTCATTCATTCATTCCTTCAACTAATATTTCTTGAATACCTACTATGTGCTAGGCTTGGTGCTAGGGATACAATGGTGAGCGAAGACAGATATGGTCTATGTTCTTGTGGAACTTCTAGTCTATTGGGGGTAGAGGAGAGGGGGGACTGTAAGCAATCACATAAATGAGGGTGTTATTGATGCCAAGATAAGTATGACAAAGGAAGGATCATACTTGGTTCTTGGTGACCAGGGGATGGAATAGTCACAACCTCCATCAATTTCAAAGTTCTGTGATCTAGTAGGCATCTCTTCTGGGAAGCACAGAGGAACCCTTTGAACAAGTTACATCTCAAAAACCAAAAACAAGACCCCCCAAACTCATATCTCATACCATAGCTATTTTTCAGCTCAATTAACCCAATCAACCGTCTATTGTGTACCTACTACAAGGAATCAACCTCCCAATTCCTGTCTTCCCGGAGTTTACACTAGTGGGCAGAATGGATTCATAAATTGACATAGCTATAAAATGTCTCACATCATTCTCTGATTGCTAATTATGTGCTTTAAATAATAATGTTTCATAAGAGTTAAGAATCAAGTGGGGGGGCGCCTGGGTGGTGCAGTGGGTTAAGCGTCCGACTTCAGCCAGGTCACGATCTCGCGGTCCGTGAGTTCGAGCCCCGCATCAGGCTCTGGGCTGATGGCTCAGAGCCTGGAGCCTGTTTCACATTCTGTGTCTCCCTCTCTCTCTGCCCCTCCCCCGTTCATGCTGTCTCTCTCTGTCCCAAAAATAAATAAACGTTGAAAAAAAAAATTAAAAAAAAAAAAAAGAATCAAGTGGGGATCTGGATGTGCTAGGGGAATCAGACATTTTCTTGGAAGTAAAAATTGAGATATGTGCTGAAGGTTTGCTACATGGTTTCAGATGAACAGAAACAATGATATCAGGGTACAATGGCCTTATCCCCTATGAGTAAGGCAGTATGGTACAGGGTACATACAAGAATGATCTAAAGTGGGAGATTCTTAAATCCCTTTTGGGCAGGAGGGATTCAAGCCTCACTTTTTGTCAAGGGCAAGAGACCTCTTCTGTGACCCACTCTGAACACCATCCCTTGGATTAGGAGGCCTGCTTCTGATGCACATCCTGACTTGGAATGGCTATCTTACTTCTGAGTCTGTTATCTCATTTGTAAAATGAAGGGGTTAGATTATATCTAACACCCCTTACAGTGACCAGAAAGATGATTAAAATCTGATTCTTGTAAGAATTTTTATTATTTCATTTTTAAACTGGTGGTTGCTGCCATGGAATATGAGCTATGGAATTTTGTTTTTTGTTTGTTTGTTTGTTTGTTTCTTGTTTTTAAGCTATGGAATTTTGGACAAGTTATTAAATATCTAAGCCTGACTTACTTTCTTTTTTAAATTAGTTTTTAGAATAAAAAAGTAACACATGCACAGATTTTTAAAAATCAAACATTACAAAAGACTATTATGATGGTTACAGAGTTCTTGTTTGGGGGGTAAAAAAGTTTTGGAAAAGGTAGTGATGGTTGTACAACTTTATGAATGTAATTAATGCCGCTGACTATATGCTTAAAATGGTTTAAATGGAAAATTTTATATTATACATATTTTACCACAATTAAAAAAATTAATAATGTAATACAGCAAAACCACTGAATTAAATAATTTAAATGGATGGGGCACCTGGGTGGCTCAGTCAGTTAAGCATCCAACTTTGGCTTAGGTCATGATCTCATGGCTGGTGAGTTTGAGCCCCGTGTTGGGCTCTATGCTGACAGTTCAGAGCCTGGAGCATGTTTTAGATTCTGTGTGTCTTTCTCTGCCCCTCCCCTGCTCATATTCTCTCCCTCTCAAAAATAAATAAACATTTAAAAAATTAAAAAACAAAACAAAACAGCATCTGACTTCGGCTCAGGTCATGATCCTGCAGTTCATGGGTTTGAGCCCTGCATTGGGATCTTTGCTGACAGCTTAGACCCTGGAGCCTGCTTCAGATTTTGTATCTCCCTGTATCTCTGTGCCTCCTGCTCATCCTCTATCTCTCTCAAAAATAAACACTAAAAAAATTTTTTTAATAAATGAATACAAACGATTTAAATGGGTGAATGATATGATATGTGACTTGTATCTCAGTAAGATTGCTGAAAAAGAAAACTTAAAAGACAATAGTGTGCCAAATTAAATACATAAATAAAAATAAAAATAAAATGTGTATCCACTAAAAAAACACATAAAAAACAAAAAACAAAGAAAAAAAACAAGTGTACCATAAGAGTATATTCTCTAGGGGTGCCTGGGTGGCTCAGTCGGTTAAACATCTGACTCTTGATCTCAGCGCTTGATCTCAGGGTCATGAGTTCAAGCCCCATGTTGGATATACCCAGTGTGGAGCTTTTTCTTAAAAAAAAGAAAATTAACATTGCAAAATTGACTTCTATAGAGTCCAATTTATACTCCTACCAAGAAATCATTCATCCATTTTATTCATTCAACCAATATTTGAGTGCCTACCATGTGCCAGGCACTATTCTAAACCCTGGAAACACAGCAAATGACCAACAACAACATAAAGACAAAATCCATTCCTTAATGGAGCTTACAGTCTTGTAGGGGGAAAGGGAAAACAAAAAAGTAAAATATATAGTATTTCATGTGGAACTAAGTGCTATAGCTAAAATAAAGCAGAGAAAGGAGTGTTGGCCAGGGGTGGGGGCTAGAGATTTGAATAGGATGTTTAGGGGATGAGAATTCTTAAGCCTCAGTTTTCTTATCTGTAAGATGGGACAATAACAGTGCCTATCTCATAGGACTGATTATTGAAAGAATTCTATGAAATTATATGTTGCACATAAAAATGAATATTTCCTAAATGGAAACTATCATTATTATAAACAACCTTATAGCTAGGAAAAACTGTGGCCTAGGGAGGAAAAATTTGCTTAAGGCCCCAAGAAAAACTGTGGTTGGGTAAGAACCAGAACCCAGGCCTCCTGATCGTTCATGCAGCATACTTTCAAATATACCAAGGGACCAAAAGCACTAAGAAGCCATCCTCCCAAGGGCTGTTAATGGGCAACATGGCTTTAAGTTGAAGAGCTCTCTGGGAATGTGATTTTCACATCAACAAGAGGGGAGGGAAGATGTGGGAGTACATTAGGTTCCTCTTCGAGGAGAAGCAGGCCAACTTCACTCTGGCCTAAGGCTGAGCCTGCTGGGGTTTACTCACAAGACGTCAGATCCAGGATGGTGCTCTCAGCCAAAGGCAACAAGCTTTCTGGCTGCTGCTGGCCCATCTGCTCTGATGAGACTCTCCCAAACCCTGATCTCCCATTGGTTTCATTCCAAGGAATCTCCTGGAGGAAAGATAAGCAGCAGTTATTTCACAGCTGTAGAAATAGTAAGTTCTAGAGGGGTATTTGTATCTGTTTGGCTGGGTGAGATTTTCAAGTAGGACAAGCAGTGGTGGTCTCTCAACTCTCTCTGTGCCTTTTTCTCACCCTGTGGCATCTCCTCTAACCACCCATAACCAGTTACCCACTGCTTGCCTGGGCCTTCTGCTTAACCAGAGCCCTCTCTCTGCCTGGGTTCTTTGCTTCAGCCCTATCCTTTCTTCATTGAGTCTCATTCTCTTCACTCATCCTAACCCCTCCTAACCCCTCCTTTAAAAGAAGATGCTCACTAATTTAACAGATTCAGTACAGAGCAGGATTCAGAGAAGTCAGCATTCTGGGCTTGACCTCTATTAATGTGTGTATGAACTTGGGCAAGTATATTATCTTTTTTTGGGCCTCAGTATCTTTATCTATAAAGATGTTGTATGTCATTTCAAATACCATGGAGTAGATTATTCTGCAAAGGGCAGAGACCCTAGTGATCTACCTAAAGACAAAAAAGTACACAGAGAAATGGTGAGGCTAAGAGCAGAAATTTTCAGAGTAAAGATGCCAGGGCCCCTAAAATGCTATTAAAAGGTGTGTTATGATGACCAATATCTGGTGAATGGCATCTAGGATCTGGTCCTGGGTCAGCTATAAGAAGTTCCCACCTAGACAAAAGACCTAGGTTTTAAAGTCTATTCCTGTATTGAGTAGGCCTCAATGCAGGGAAAAATCCAAACTAGCTTTGCACCATACCATGTCCACTCTTGAAAGTGCAAACATAAGAAGTAAAAAGAGCTTTAGCAGGTCACCAACAGTTACTTGAACATCACAGGGCAGGACTAGCTGCAGGTTTCCTCTGCAAGACTAAAAAGAGGAAGGGGGAGAAACACTCAACAAAAGGGATCTTGAACTGAAATTTGAGAAACTGACATAAGAAGATTTCAAAAGATGTTAGAACTATAAGCAAATGTGTCAGTGTTTCCACTTTTGTTTAAACTGTGTCCAGTTACATTAATGGACATTAATGCTGGGGTAATTTTAAAAAAATTTTTTAATGTTTATTTACTTTTGAGAGAGACAGACAGAGTGTGAGCAGGGAAGGGACAGAGAGAGAGGGAGACACATAATCAGAAGCAGGCTCCAGCCTCTGAGCTGTCAGCACAGAGCCCAACACAAGGCTTGAACTCACCAGCCTTCAAGGCTTGAGACATGACCTGAGCCAAAGTCAGGCGCTTAACTGACTGAGCCACCCAGGCGCCCCATCTGCTGGGGTAATTTGAGAAAACTTTAAAATCTTAGTGACTATCACTAATATGTGCTCTCTCTCAAGGTGGTGTCCATAATCTTAACTTTACACACAGAGAAAGGCACAGGGAATGGAGACCTGAGATTCCAAATTCTGAAAGAAACTGTGACCCTCACTACATCATTGTCCCTGCCTGGAAAAACAATCCATACACCCACAACAATGGTGCCCCACAGTTGGGTTGACAACAAAGTCTCACAGGCTGGAGTCTTGCAACACTGTTGGCACATCAGAAGCACTTGCAGATGCTTAGTACTTGGGTTGGTAAATCTACCAAGCCTGCTTAGATCCTATCCTCTCCCTGCTGGAACACTGATCTAGTCAGACCTCCAGAGTCAGCAGCATGTCCTAGCAGAGAAACACTGAAGGAGGGGTGGCACTGTTTTCATGGAGTCTTCAGTGACTTTCCACTGAGCTGTGGGAAAATTTGACAGTTGACTGTGGCTGAATCATAACTCAGAGGTCCTGACCACTCAGATCTTTGAAGATTCCTTTCATTCCTTTCCCAAAAGGGGAACCTGGCACACTCCAATTGGTTAATTCCATTTACCTTCTGTTCCTTGCAACCACATGTAGGTGCAACTGTGTGATCTCAGTGGTGGCAAGAGTATCAGAATAACAGCATCTATAACAGGCTATAACTATAATAGCTTCTATTTCTCTAGTACTTACTGTTCTCAGGCACTTTTTATATATTTTTTTCATTGAAATCCTCATAACCGCTTAGTGGGTTACTCACTATTAGTATCCCTAGTTGACAGATAAGGAAACTGAGGTCCAGAGAGGCTAATCACTTGCCTACTGTTGTACAACTTGGGTGTGAGGTGCTGAGATACTGTAGCATCCTGACTCCCAAAGTCTGTGCTCCTATTATGTTATACTGCGTCCAAACACCAGCACAGTTATTCCGAGCTCAAAAGCACTTCAGATATCATAGATCAACCCCTAGATTTTGCAGCTGAGAAAACAGACCTAGAGGATGATGGGAATTACCTCGTGACAAAGCCAGGATTCGAGGAAGGCTCTTCACTCCAGGGTTCAGGGCTCTCTGTTATATCAGAAGGCCTTGGGTTCTCTGCATCATCTTAAGAATCTGGAGTTCTTTGATATTTTATCACTTATTCTTTAGGGAATGGAACTTAAATTTATATAAACATAAAAATACTTTCATATAGTTTTTCTACCATATAGTGATCCTCTAATTCTTCCTACCCCTTTTTAGAAAGTTTTTTTTTTTTTTTTTTTAACTTGGCTCCTTTTTGCTTTCTCCTTCTTTTTTTAAATCCCAAGAAAGTGAAAGCATTTTCAGATAGGATAAAAAAATCTTTAAAATCTTTAACCAACTTTCCCTTCTTTTACCAAAGTACTTTAAACACTGCTTTTCAGTGATGATTTCTAATTGTCAATCATCCAGTTAGTGTTTTATATCCTCACTCTACCGTCTTCTGCTCCCCCTTCTTAGGAGATGATCAACTTAGGCTTGGTATGTCCCCTCAGCTCCCTGTGTCCATCTCCAGGCCTTACTCTGTTCAGATTCTTCTTGACATCCTGCCTCTTGTCATGGCAATAGTATTCTTACTGCTCCTGAGGCAGCCTCTATACAGTGACATTGGCCCCATTCCTTCCCACCTCCTTCTAAATCTGAACCAACAAATTTTAAAGGAGTGAGAAAGGCCTGGAAACAGTAACATGTGGTGGAAAGTATTTGGTCTTTGTAGCCCAACAAATCCTCACCCCTCTGGGTAAGTTAGTTAGCCATGCCAAGCCCCATATGTCAAGTGGACAGGAGACCCCACTTCAAGGTGATGATGAGAATGGAATCAAATAATGTGTGAAAGGGTTTGTAGGTAGCCCAGCACACAACAGACACTGCCTTCTCCACCTTCTGGCTCCTTCCCTTTTTTTTTTTCACAAAAAAACATTCAAAAGAGCTTCATTTTTTCAAATAGCCAGATTTCATCCTCAATGAACTGTTCTTTCTCCTTCTTGTCATTCCAAGCTTATTGAACATTTATCCTCACAGTTGGCCCTTCCTTCTCCCTATTCAATTCATTTTGGCCACTATATATTGAACTGCTAGGGACAGCTTAGCCCATTTCAGTGCTCTCCCAAACTCTAAATTCAATACACACTTGTGAATTGACCCCTGGAGCATTAACAACTGCTTGGCACTCTGACCTTGAGTGGCCTGCTCATTTCTGCATCTCCTCTGACTTCTGTGAACATTGCTGTCTCAGTCACTTTCAACCTCTCATCTTTCTGCATCCTGTGTCCAGGTGCTCTCTTCCACTCCCATGGATTCAACCCCAACTATTTACTCCAGATCACAGGGTATCTCTTTGGAGGTTCCATAGGTATCTAAATCTCTAAATTCGCTTTTTTTCCCCCCTCATGGCTCTTGTTTCCCAAACGGTTTCACCATCAAACTAATGTTCAAGTGAGAAGCCTGAGTTATCTTGGATGTATTTTCTATCCTCCATATTCTGTATTTGAGTAGTCACAAATCCCTTTTATTCCCACAATATCTCCTAAATTCACCCTCTCTATGTACAGTGCTAAGTTCAGGCCTTTGTCATGCCACAGCTAATGCTCTAAACTGAAAGCCCTTGCTTCCAGTCACCCACCCAGCTCACCCTCTGCTCAGATCTGTGATTTACCTAATTAATAGATCTGAGCATTAATCATCTGCTCTAAAATCTTCCTTAGCACTGACCATAGAAAATCCTGAATATTTATATCTCTAGCTCCCCATTAGAATGGAGGCATCTCTTATTAATATCGTATCCCACTGCCTACTAGAGTCATTAAATATGCATTAAAAAAGCTTATTAAATGAATGAATACAACCCCAGAACAATGCCATGGATAGTAGAGAATATGAAAGAAATATAATATACTCCTTATCATCTAGGAGCCTATATTCTTTTTGGAGAGACAAAATAAACATAAGAAACTACAGTATTAAGCATATAAACTGAGATACAAACTGCAAATGCCAGAGCAGCTCAGAAGAAAAAGGTGGGTGTAAGGTGGAACTTCTGGTGAAGACCTCACACAGGAGGAGAGAGTTCCTGAGGGCCTTAAAGGATGGGTGGGGGTTGCAAAGGGACAGTGGAAGGAGCAGGATGCTCCAGGATGGAAATGGTATGGTAAATAGCACCGACCATTGGATGGACAAAAAGGAGTGTGACCTAATGGGGAGATGGGAGATTATGTTGGGGGACAATGAGACCAACCTGGAGAGATAAGGTGGTCCAGAAAACAGAGACCCTCAAGAGTCAGGAAAAAAGGAGTTTGCCTCGAATAAGAAAGCTGTAACTGTTTTTGAGTGCTCCAATAATGCAAAAGCAACCATACACAAAAGCTATCATAACACAAAAGCTACCTTTTGATACACACACGCATGCTCTTTTAATGCAGCAGAGCTTTGGGATAGATACTATTATCACCATTTTACAGATGAGAAAATGAAGCACAGAGTAGGTAAATAACTTAATTGTGGCCACACCGCTGTGTAATAAGCACTGTTGGCACAGATAAGTAACATAGTTCCTGCTTTCAAAAATATCAAAATCCAAGCAGAGACGGGTACTCAGGTACTCAAATTAGTACCTCATAAATAATTACTTATAAATCAATGTGTTAGGTCTTGTAACAAATACATACA